CATCTACATGTGCATTGCCACACGCTAAATAATGCTGCCACAGGAAAGCACTTGTGTTTTCAAGTACTAACCTATGGCGGTGTTTATTAGCTTCCTGTGGCCTACCAGGGCTGCATGTGTAGATGCTAAGACTTTACTGTAGAGCTAATTAAGCAACTCGGCAGTAAATGTCTCATGCAGACATGCCCATAATATTATACCATAGGCATAGCAGCACAGCTCCGTTTCCAGGATAGCACCAGCTCCTGCCATGTCAATTGTGGTGGTGTGATCAGCTGCTGCTGCAACAACAGCTGCTTTTGTGCCCCCCTCCAAAGGTGGTGCTTATGCTTGTGCCCTGGATGCCCCTCTTCATGTGTACTACTAAATTATACCTGGCAATCCATAAGCGACCACTGTTTTCTACAAGTCCATTCATAGCATCTGACAAAGTAGGCTGTCACCTATGGGATCTTATACCTCTCTGAACCAGTTTGTCTTCAAGGTGATACCCTGCCCTGTCTTCTTCCTGACTTTATACTAATACCAATAATCATTTCTCTCTTAAAAAAAAAAAAGCTCACAACTATTACAGAATGAGTATTTTGATGCTTTGTCATTTGGTACTCCTATTTATTGGTTGAACCACACATGCTAATTTTGGGTCAATTCTGTTCTGGATACACAGGTACAAAGCTTGGCTTCCAGAAGAATCATCTAGGTAAACCAAGAGCAGAGCTTGGGCAATTGCTGTACATAGCTGTATTTTTCTAGTATCATTCTGACATATATATTGGGTCTCAATATATATGCATAAATTCCTTGTTTTATGTAGTTCAGCTGAAGTCAGAGATGTAATGTATCAGCAGACCTATAACTTTTACATTTTTATAGCTGTGTTGCAATGTCTTTTACATGTAGAGATGTATATACAGTTAACATATTTTACATATGCATATGTATTTATCTATATGTCTGTATTAAATGTCCATGCATGTGCAATTGTCACTTGTCCTTAATTAGTTCCCTGGCTTCAGAATAGGATACAGTTGTAGTTTTTCACATGCTACTGTGGGTTAACTGTTGGCAAATGTGACTGTTTAATAGCAACTGTACTTAAATTTACCAAAATATATTTACTGGGTGCAGCAAAAAAATGTCTACTACCTAAGCAAGGAAAACCCATTTTTTCATTAATTTTCTTTCAGAAACCTAGACATTCTCACGGTAACATCATAGCTTTGAATTACATTGTTAAAAATGTAAGCATTCTTAACAGCATTTACAGCACTTTATCCAATAGAGTGCAAATGAAATATGTTTATCTGAATGATGACTGGTTTGCAACTTTAGAGTTAAATGATCCAATAAGCACGGAGTTAATTTTAATTTGCATACTGAAATTCTATTGGCGCACGTGCTACATAAGAGGGTTTTATATTTTTGTCACTCTTTAAGAAGCAACTAATGATCCACAGAGAATTTGGGAAACCATTCTGTTTACATTCCATCCCATTTATATGTCCTACATTTGCATGCAAAGAGGGTCTTTGTTTCCTTAGGGTTTATCAGTTCCTGCTATTTATTCCCCACTAGCAATTGTAGTCGTCTTTGACACCAGTCTCATTTCCACACAGCAAACAGCTTTACGAAGTATAAATAAAGTGCTAGCATTACCTGGCAATTTTGTCTGTGCAAGACATTGTGATTAGCTGTTCTCCCAGCAACACACCATCCCATGTCTGAACTGTATTATGACGTCGGACTGGGATGGTTCCTTCTCCAGACTCAATTTTTGTTCGCAGATGTCCACGGTACTTTCTTACTATGTGTTTGCTACTGTTCACTGAGAAAAAAAAGGGACAATAAAAAGACAATAATTAATGTTTGCACAGTTACCTCCTGAGGTGAATAAAAGTGTCTGTGATACCCTATCTCGCACTATGGCACAAAAACTGGTGCCTTTGAAATTAAATGAGAAATTGGCTGCAGCCCACAAAAGCAGCACAATGGATATTTTCATTCGGCACTCCCTACTGTTCAAGTAAATCAATGTTTTTTTACTACAAAAATTGAGCTCATGTTAACATTCTCTACCTCTTTAAAAACAGAGAAGTTTTTTTTAAGTATCTAATCAGAGCATTGTACAGTGCTGTTGTCATATCTTGTAAAATAAACAGGACTAGGTCAGGTCAGCACTTGGTTGGGTAGACCTCCAAAGTACTTTCAGGAAGCAGTGTGGGTCATTTAGGAGGTGAGTTTTTTTTTCTTTCTGACTCAGTACTGAACTAGTGCCCCAGCATGACATTTGATACACTGCCATTGGAGCTCATGTACTGCAAGGTCCCGGCTTCTTGTTGTCTCTAAAAATTCCCAAGAGTAGAGATTTAAACCTGGTCTCTTGTCCAAGTGAAATCTTAGTAGATATATTCTTCTGGCCTAAATTCCACCAGAATCAACCTTGCCTAAGGTATGCTAAGTTCTTGTGTGAGGTTGACATACGCTGTTAAACTTGTGCTGTGGTCCAACCCATTCAGTAATGGGCAAAATGGGTCCTAGCTGTTGCTTTTGCAAAAGACAGTAACACTTGTACTGCAGTCTGCATCCATTTGGATGAAAGGCACTATATAAATGCAAGTTCATGATCAAAGTCATCTTTATCATATGGATATGGCCAATTTATGCATGGGTGGGAGAGAAGGAAAACTAACTTTGAAAATAAATGCTGGCAGTAACCCTGTGATATGGATTTAGTCCTTCTGCCTGTGTGGAAGAGAGTTAAGCAATGCCCAAATGCTGTTCTTGCTGCCTGTATGTCCATGAAAAGTAGGTTGTGGTAGACATGGTGGACTATGATTTTTCCAGAGGCTAGCGGTAATTCCCCAATGCCAGTGCATCCCATGGGTGCTTTAACCTCTCTGTGGGCCCCCTTTGTGACTGGGGAACTTTCCTTGAAGTTGCCCTTTTGTAAGAAGGCAAGAAGCCAAAAGGCCCCCAAAGTTCATGCATGCATCTCTACAAAAGGGACCAGTGTCAGGGGCTCTGTGGGATTTGGGTGCTGACTTGGTGCTTGTTTCACAGCGGGGGTCATGCAGTCCATCTAGGGAGTTTATGAGAACCAGGGAGTCCTCCCTTCAGCACCTTGGCTCAGTTTTCCTATTCAAGTGAATGATTCCTCTCTTGGCTCTATTATTTTCATATCTTCCCTTTCCCCCCACTCTCTTAGTAGAACAGACTCAATTCTATAGACGAGTACAGAAACAGGATAACATCTTCTCAGAGCAGGCTGTCTCTATAGAAATGTTCCAGAAGTCTTCACTAGAGGACATATTTCATGTGGTATAGCCTTTCCTTTATTTCCTCTAATGCCAGCACCACAGGAGGAGAACAGAAAATAGAAAAAGGCCACCTTGAACTTTCAGTGCAAAGAGATTGTTGTTCAACAGCCTGGACTTTTGCCCAGGGTTTCAATACTTCACCTGCAGCTTTATTTTTATAGGATCCCATCCTTCAGGTAGATCTAGAGGTTTATTTTTCTGAATGTGACAAAAACCCTTAACAGGTTACAGGTCTGCATGGATTTTGTGCATCTCACACTAGGAAAACAAGTCAATGGGCTGATCAAGCCACAGGCAGAGAGCAACCGGCTTTGTGTGCATTCCTGAGCCACGCTCTACACCCCCCTGTCATTTTCCAGTTTGCTTTATTATGGTGTATCCTACGCTGTTACCTCTAGTTGAAGCAATTGATTGACTTTGGCTAGTGTCAGTGGATTGTTTGCAGAAAAGCAATGGAAAAATAAATCACTTCACAACATTGGGATTAGCGAGCACAGCAAACACATGCAGAACAGCAATTTCAGCTGTGACCTGCCAGCAGCTACGAGTCTCCTCTGAACGTTTGTTCTTCATTTTCTCCTTATTCTTTAAAATACATTATTGATTTTTCAAGAATGGGCTCCATTATGCCTTAAATGTTCTAGACTCTCTCAGGATCTGTCTACACTATTTCTACAACTGTGCTCCTACAGCAAGGGAGAACATCATCTTTTTTTGTCATTAGACAATAAATTGATGGGGAGGTCAGAAAAAGACAAAGCCGGTAGAACCACTGCTCTCCAGCAAACACAACTGGAAGCTGAACTGAAGGATATCACAAGGTTTAGACCCTATAGACTGTGTTCTGGATAGCTTATATGGAGACCAACTAGAGTCACAGAGGGGTGGTCAACACAAAGGGTGGCATTTCAGAGGGACTTAGACCCTAGCTATATTTCTGTCTCAGAAATTGGCTTGCTGGTTGACTTTAGGCCTCACTTTGCCTCTATGTGTCTCAATGTCTTGATATGTAAAATGAAGAGCACTTTGAGATGTACCGCTACAAGCTCTTTATAGGAGGAAGGAACTGTAGGAATCCACCTGCAGGATTCTACCTCAGTTCCACTTTCACTGCACCTCTCCACCTTCGCCATATTTAAAATATCCTTTTTTTTCTTGGCCTTTCTCTCCCCATCAGCCCTTCTTTTCTCCACATTCCTCTTTGTCTCACCAATTCCATTTCCTGCAGAGATCCTCTCCTTTTACATCCATTGCGTTCTTTTCTCCCTCTCATTTTCAGGCATTCACCAAATTGCTTCTACCTTTCAAAGCCTGAAAGGTAGCAACATGGAGAGAGAGGGGGCTGCAAGCACCCGAAGAATTGCATGACAAGTTGGCTATTTTGTCAACTATATGGCTTTGGTTAGCTAAATATATATTACGTAGCAAGGAACAAAGCATTATGCCATGAGATGGTAGGAGAGATGAGTAGTTGAAGGGAAGAGATCTAGTTGAGGGGATCTAGTGGAAGAGATCTAGTTGAGTGGAAAGTAGTTCTATACCAATTCCAAATTGGTATGGCTCAAAATACCCAAGCATAAAATCCACCTCTATCTTGTCACTAGGTTGGCATCTTACATGTGGTCCCTGAGCCAAAAGGGCCAGGGATTCAGATGCCACCCAAAAAGCTGGCTTGATCATAGTCAAAATAAGGCTTCATATACCATGTTCAGATGACTTGGAAGAAATCTCCTGTGTTTCTATTCCTGTTAGAAAAACTTATCAAGAGATGCGTGAACAGATATTTGAAAGCTGAGCGCTTGAAGAGCAAAGTGCCTGCAGTGCTGATTCTGTACAGCCAAGGTCTCCTACACACATATCTCAGTGTGCTCTGCAGACTTCCTCCGTCTGCCTAAAGACAGATGGCAGCAGGCCACAGGGCAGCCCTGACTGGCTGACCCAGACTGCTTAGGGTCAGCTTGTGTTTCCTTGCAGCACAATATGGGCATTGTGAAGAGGGCATATTCTGCTCCCTGCCCAGCTGCAGCAGTAGAGTCCAGGCTGAGTGGCACACTGTTTCCCAGGTGGGTGAGAGAAAGGGAGCAACATGCCCTGGGATACTGGAGCACTATGCTGTGGCTTGTCAGAAGGAAATATATACAAACATTCACTTACCCAGAAGCAACTATCCCAGGAGTGATTTAGCCCATGTCGTTCCCAGTTTATTTTTTTCTGGAGCAGCCATTTTTGCTCTGGGAGAAAAATCCTGAACTTTTATATACATGTGGTTTTACTGGGAGAGGAGAGACTCTCCCAGAAGAAACTGAATGTCTATATGTCACCTAAGATAACAGCTGTCAGACAGTTTTAGAACTAAAAACAGCTCAGTGCTTTGGAGGTTTCAGAAATGTTTAGAAAAGGTGGGTTTTGTTCCTCATTAAAGTTCATAATTGTGCACTTTTGCCATTCCCAATTCTCTTCAGGGTGAAATTTTATGAAATTGGACATTATGGCCTTTCAGCTTGAAAGGAAGTACCAGAAATTTAGCAACAAAGATTCTCACAGAGTCTAGCAATTGTATGAAATTGCACAGGTCATCTCGTATATGAACTGACTCCTCTTAATGTGTGTTCTACCTAGGGTGAAGTAGTGCAAACTGAATTAATTGACAGGATTCATACAGCTATTGCCATTGTACACTCACCCCAGGCTACATTTCCAGAGCATTGATAAGGGGTGTTAGGTGCTCAACTGCTCTTAAATGTAATGGATAGTGTGCGACTAATACCCTGTGCAGGGCTGCACATTGCAAGATGTTCATGCCATCAGGACAGATGAGCACTTTCTATGAAAATACCTTCCTTAAACATTTATTTTTAAAAATAATGTTGTACTACAGTCCGCAGTCCTGAACATTTTGACCATTGTCAAAGTCTGTATTCAGCTCTGAACTTGGAACATGAACTCCTCCTTAGTTCATATTGTATCATTAAGGAACGTGTGCAAATATGAATACCAAGTGAAAAATAAATGATGATAAACAGTGTGTACTGTACTTTAAAGATTTGGGTTGACTCTGGAGTATAAACTGCTTGGTAGTATAGTAGTGAGAGTGAGACCCTCTTACTGGAACAGTCTTTGCCATTGATCACTTAAAAATAAAATCTCCAAGATATATTTATTTATGTACCTTGAAGTCCCATGCCCCTGCCCACTGATGTTTTCTTGTTCAGTATGATCAAAGCATCAGTGACTCTGAGTACTTCTGATCTTTGCTGTGCCGGTTCTCCAACTGCTTAATCTCAACTAATTGCAGCGGGGGAGAAGGAATCTGAGGCTGCCACTTCAACCAGAACAAAATGTCAATTCACAACAAAATTAGAGAGGATGAATTGCAGAATGATTTGGAGTGGATTTATGTGTGCTAGACTCCAAGTCAGAAATCACACTTGATAATTTTGGAGATGAAAAGGTGCAGGAGTATTAATGACCACATGATAAGTACACATTGTCAGCCCACATGGAGCAC